ATGGAGACAAGGACTGCTTGGGTAAAACAAGTTCTACATTAATTAGCTTGACATTTCCCAAGTTCCCAATAGGGTTTCATATCACAGACCAAGATAATAAAGTAGTGAAAACACAGAGATTCGATATATTTCTTCCTTTACATGATACATCCACAGTACTTGTTTTAAAACTCAGAAACATAGTATATTCATTTTACTGTTTCATATCTTTCACCAAATCTAGTTAAGAAAATCATGGTGGGACAGTACAAATCCAAGGTTATTATAAGAAATAACTGGCAAAAGACACGGAGAGACAGTACAGCTCTTAGATTATCATAAGAGATGATTGGTAAAAGACACAGAAGGGGCAGTAAAGCTCTTAGATCATCATAAGAGATAACTGGCAAAAGACACAGAAGGGGCAGTAAAGCTCTTAGATCATCATAAGAGATAACTGGCAAAAGACACAGAAGGGGCAGTAAAGCTCTTAGATCATCATAAGAGATAACTGGCAAAAGACATGGAGAGACAGTACAGCTCTTAGATCATCATAAGAGATAACTGGCAAAAGACATGGAGAGACAGTACAGCTCTTAGATTATCGTAAGAGACAACTGGCAAAAGACACGGAGAGACAGTACAACTCTAAGATTATCATAAGAGATGATTAGTAAAAGACACAGAATGGGCAGTAAAGCTCTTATATCATCATAAGAGATAACTGGCAAAAGACACAGAAGGGGCCCTAAAGCTCTTAGATCATCATAAAAGATAACTGGCAAAAGACACGGAGAGACAGTACAGCTCGTAGATTATCATAAGAGATGACTGACAAGACAAATGGTGAGATAGTACAGCTCTAAGCTTATCATAAGAGATGACTGACAAGACAAATGGTGAGATAGTGCAGCTCTAAGGTTATCATAAGAGATGACTGACAATACAAATGGTGAGATAGTACAGCTCTAAGGTTATCATAATAGATGACTGACAAGACAACTGGTGAGATAGTACAGCTCTAAGGCTATCATAAGAGATGACTGACAATACAAATGGTGAGATAGTACAGCTCTAAGGTTATCATAAGAGATGATTAACAAGACAACTGGTGAGATAGTACAGCTCTAAGAGCTATCATAAGAGATGACTGACAATACAAATGGTGAGATAGTACAGCTCTAAGGTTATCATAAGAGATGATTAACAAGACAACTGGTGGCGAGAGTGTAAAGCTCTAAGGATAAAATATACTAAAATACCCAAACAATCAACATTGTTTACTATATAATGTTGATAATTTGAGTATTTTAGTATACTTTAAATATTTACACATTCCCCTAATTTTAACCTAGCTCTAAGGTTATTTTAAGAGATGACTGACAAAGAATATGGTGAGACAGTACAACATTGAGGTTATCATAAGATAGGATTGAAAGAATAATCTTATTATAAAAATGATCTATTATGTGTTTGTATATGTTAGCATCCATCACTTAAAGTCGGCTTGCTCGATTACCATAATATTTGACATGGTAACTGAAAACTGTCCAACAGTTACAAAGACTACCTTGTTATAGGATTTCTGCCCAGAAAGAAGGATAAAAAAGCTCCTGAAATAGGTCGCATTTCCACTTTTTTTTTTGTAGACTTTTGGCTTTGGATGTTAAAACACAAATACATAATCAGCAAAATGTGTTAGTTATTACCATCTACAAAGCAGGATATGCAATTAACATCTAATTAGGTCATTAAAGATTTAATAACAAAAGAAATACAGAAGGAAACTTCATCTCACATTGTCCTTTATACAATTTATGATATGTCTGGTGGGGGTCTGTGGCACAACAGGCCAAACAATAATAGGAAACCTGTGTCATTGGTAAATATAGTACAGTAACTCAAAAAAATAGTTATTTTAAACCAATGTTTGTTCTCTTTCAAACCATTGTATGTCAATCACATGAAGAAGTCAGGTCAACCTGGGAAAATGTAAAATACTTTTATCCTTTTTACTTCCAATAAATTCAAAGTTTATGCAATTCAAGTTATTAATTCTGTATTGGTGTTTCACTATTCATCAGAACATTGTCTGTTTTACCTGAAACAGTGTTATGGAAGAAAAAGATCTTGGTGTTTTGGTTGATCAGTCTCTTAAGCCATCCAAGCAATGTGCTGTTGCTAGTGGCAAAGCAAATAGGATTTTAGGCAGTATCTACAGAAATATTGAATACAAGTCTAAACAGATTATAATGTAATTGTATAAGTCCATTGGTTAGGTCCCATTTGGATTATTGTATTCAGTCTTTGGCTCCTTACCCCAGAAAGAACACTGAACTGTTGGAAAGGGTTCAGAGAAGGACTACTAAGATGATACCTGGGATGGAAAGGTTATCACATGAGGATAGATTATGAACTATGAAATTGTTTTCTCTTGAAAAAAAAAGTGTTAGATGGTATCTGATTGAGGTATTTAAGGGAACGATAATGTTGATGCATCATCTTTTTTTCATCTTCAATAGTGAAAATGGTAATATTAGAGGATATATATAAATTTTGGCAGGGAAGAATTCATTTTCAGCTAAGACAGCTTTATTTTTCTAACAGAGTGGTTGGTCTCTAGAATGGATTGTCTTTTGATGCAGTTAATTTAAGAGAGTTTAAGTGAAAGCTTGATCAATAAATATTTGAATGATAATGGCTGGCTTTGAGTTTTTTAGGGTTTTGTTAAATTTAGTGAATAGAACAGTCTAGATGGACCAGAAGTCCTTTGCTGTTATGTTATATTAAATATAAATAAGCTTTTTCATCGAGTTACAAGCATACGGGACATATCACCGTCAGTGCACGTTCTTACAACAGGAATGTGGAGCACATCTCTTTTAGTTCAACTCCTCTTATGAACAATGGAACACTTCTGAATAACACTATTAATGCTACTTTACATGTGTTAGCCAACATAAGGAATTTAAACATAATTGTTTCTCTATGGCCAGCTCGTACCTACTATTGTTAAGTAGCACGTTATCTTCTCTACAGAAATCCTTTCAGTTTCTATTACATTTTAACATGCTTATTCAAATGTATCATTTTTGGTTTATGATTGGTAAAGTGGGTCTGTGGCCAATGATTAGTTGAGGTTGCCCACTACTGATCTTTAGCCATTGGTTTTATATTGAAAATTGCATCTTTTGAGGTATTTAAATCCGGATGGAACCTTTTTGCAACAAATAGTCAGACAGGAGACTCTTGAATTTAGAACTGCTGATCAAAGGGTAGGCAAACAATTAGCAGCACTCACTGTCAAAATGGATTGTCTTGACTGGCTGTCAATATTATAATGTCTCCTTGAATTATTCTTCAATATTTTACTCATAAAGATAAAGATACACAGTCAGTAACTTTCTCTATACATTTTAAATTTCTCTAGAGCAAGTTATAATCAACTCATGGCTGTTAATCCATCATACATGAAATATATGTACCAATCTACAATCAATTTGCATTTGATATATCAATAACTGACATAAGAGTTTCACAGACAACTAATGATAATAAGTCTATGTACTGATATAAATAAAAAAAACACACCAAAAGTTATGAAAATTTAGAAACTTTTTATTCAGCTGGGAAACTAAATCCTGTTATGTTGTTTCTGTAAATAGTAATTAACAAGTGGTTTATACTAGCAACTATTGTGGTTTTAATAATCCTGCTTTTGGTATACTACAAACCTCATTTTATTTCTACCCTTTTTAAAAAGATGTTCCAATCATTAAAAAAAACAGCAAAAAAAGAGAATTAACTACATTTAAAATATGGGAAAGAAAAATATTTCAGGATTTCCTAAATTGGTAACATTTTCTGGTTATCATTTTAAAACTTAACTACTGCACAATTGAAATAACAGAGGTTTTTGTTCCATCTACATTAAAACAGTGTAACACGCATACTTCAACAACAGTTTGCTACTGCTCTGTATTTTTCTTATTAATACAAGTTCTATATGTACACTTGATACATCAAAATAATGTTCCATGTGCAGCTAAAGTGATTCAGTTTTAAAGTGTGATCTTTTGATAAAAGTTTGATTCCAAAAATGAGAAAAATTGTTACTTAAAGTTTAAAATCAATTAAACCACATAACGGGAACACAATGACCTTAATTCATAACAATTTTATCATTTTTATTTCGGTATAATATTTCTAAAGCATGTACCATTAAAAGTATGTTCATCAAAATGACGTTGAACACATTGCTAAGATGGTTAGACAAGAAAACAACTTTCTGAGTGTGAGTACGTGTGTATATCTACCGTGAAAGAAACTATTATATATTAATCAACAGAAAAACCATAACCTTACTCATATATCCATCATTTTAGTTCTAACAGTACATATACAATAACAATTTCAGAGGAATTTCAACAATCATTTTACCCCCCCCAAAAAAACAACAACAACAACAACAAACTACTGATAACTTATTGCAAGAAAGTATGCCAATGTTAATTAGTTTTGTAACAACCCGAGTTATTACTCCCACCTGTTGAGATGAAATTAACAGTACTTAAGCTTTAGAAAATAAATCTGGTTATACATAAAACAAATTATTGTAATACGACTGTTGAAAGTAACTGTTTTAAAAACAAACAAATGAAAAGGACCAATTTCAAATATTTATAAACTGCAATTAAGAATAAGTATTCAACACAATTTATTTACCTGATTTGGCACCAACTATCCTCAAACTACATGAAAATATCTAAACATGTCAAACTTAAAAAAAGAATGATGGCCTCTTTAAAATACTCGGCACGGCCATCACGAAACATGACAAAAGCAGCACATGCTGACAACATATTCTGATTACCAAATTAACATCTGTACAACATTCAGTCACCTTTACAGTTAATAAAACTTTCTCGTGGGTTGCAAGAAACAAAATATGTCCATCTTCAATTCTGAAACAGTGTATATGCATTTGAGGAAACCACCATAATATATTACAGATTTCACATCATAATGTTTCTGCTTAGTTTTTGATCTCGTTTATCATTTCCTTAAATCAAGATATTATAAACATTCCTTTTGTATCTATTCTTTTTTTTACATATCTTATTTTACAGATTACTTATGCTGATGTTGTATGCCACACCTGTTTGAATGCATACATTTAACAAATTTAACATTTACACTACCTTTCTTCTTCAGTTTTTCAATTATTTATATTTCAAAGCTTTAAGTTTGTATTGACTAACTACACCAACTAAGATAAATCTTCTTAAATAAACTTATATTAATAACATTAAGTAATGCATTCTTCTACAAATCCTAGAAATCAAATGGTCATGCAATATGTACAGGTTTTCTCTTTATTTTGGATAAATACAATATTGTTACTCTTTATCATCCAGGCAAGTACAACTTACACTAATTTATATGTCAGTTCTTAACTGAAAATATGATACTAAACCAATAAAGAAATAAACCAAAGTTGAAACATTTGCAGTTCATCTGCAAATATGCTTAATGAAGGTTCTTGCGTCTTCAATTAAATGTTACGGTTATACATAAAACAAAAATAAAGGGTTATACAGAGAAAAAAAAAATGATAAGACCTTTTTAACCATAGTACAACACTCAAACATCATCTTAGTTTGCTATCACATTATAAGCTATTCTTACATAATGGTAACAACCCTTCTGGCCAAGGTGAACGTCTACCACATACAAAATGCATTCTTTTTTGAGTGATAGCAATAATACTAACCACAGCTATAAACTTACTTGCTTCAATCGTATAGTTACAGGCCCGCTTTTATAAACAGAAGGTATTTAATCATCTTTAAACCTCACTAAAAGTCACATTTCAACTGACATTAATATTGTTATCAATAAATGAATTTACATACGTGAATATATATATATATATATACGTTTTTATTAATTCTACTAAATAAATTCTTAGAATATCTTTCTGAAAACATACTTCAGTTATTTTATACTGGTTCATTATTTTTTTTAAGGGACTGCATTAAAAATAAAAAACTCAAAATTTACAATTCTCTTCCTCCATATCTTTAGGAATGAAAGAGTTTTGAGATACAATTTTCTACGTGGTATGCTTAGCATTTACACAGATATACTAAAGTAAGGCAGTAGAAAGTGTACCTATAAGTTGAAACTTTTACCAATTGCCTCAGTTTTGCAATATTTATTCTGAAATACACTCACACGAAGAACTTGGACTCAACATTTGAAATATATAAATTTGAGAGATCCTGCTTTAGTTTCATCAAAGCACAGTTCTATTCCGTTACCTTTTTTTTTTTTTTTTAAAGATTTTTGCATACATGGGCAAAACACACGTTCAGTAAGCCTATGTAGTATCTGTACCTGGGTGTGTACAGTCTAAAGAATAAGAGAAGTAGCGTGCTATTTTAGCAGGATATGAAATATCAGCTCAAGGCAAACGTGACCTTCTTGACAGCTGGGTGAAGAGATGACTGGTATGAGTGCACTGTCTAAGTCATTCATGTAAATGTTTGGTAAAGTGTATTCTTGGGATCCCACTTCATAACCAACCTTAAAAGTAGTAAAAAAAACACAGCTACAGTACATTTAACACTAATTGACATAAAAAAAGTGCTATATGTTTAGAATTTCAATTTTAAAGAGTTCAGTTTCAATAAAAATTGCACACATACAAGATTTCGCTCAACTGTTTTTAACACATCACACACATAAATGAAGGTTAAGGAAGTATTCAAATGTACAAACTTTATCAATAATAACACCAGACAACAAAAATATAGTAGATCAAAATGCTCTTATTAAATGGATTTATTTTGCAACGTTTTGGCCTTAGGCCCAATTCAGGCAGAGAACAAAATACAACTGAATATGGTAGAGAATCAGTTAGAATTTGAATGAGACATGCAGGAATGGAGCGAGATAAGTCGATAATACATAACAAAATATAAATAAAACACTGTTAGAGAAGTATAAAACAAAAAAATAAGTGTGTGTGTGTATATATATTAAAATGTTGTCATTGCCAAAACACTGCAAAATAAATTCATTTAGAAAAAGTGAAGAAAGCATTTTTATCTATTTTTTTTTTCCATTGTTTAATTTTATTAATAAATTTCATTCTTAAAATAGTACTATCTTTGACTGATGAAACTATACCAACTTTTAAGTTTCTTGGAGAATATAATCACGAGAACTTGTGTATTATATGTATAGCTATGGCAAAACTTTTAATATGAAGACCACTGACAATCATTACTAATTATTTCCAAGTAATATTTACAATTAAACTACAAACCAGAGTTTATATATTAAAAATTATTTTATAATATGCAAAGAATAGTCAGTAAAAAAAATAACTTCAATAGCAAATGAAAATGAGTTGTTAACTAGGAATCGTATTGATAACTTGCAAGAAAAGTTATTCACTTTTCTCTTACTCAAGAACAACTATTTGTTAAGTGATATGAAACTTTGCCTAACTAAATAACCAATACAGTTCTTCGAACCCATAAAAGCTCATGAATAGCTATGTAGACCTACTTAAATATGCACAAATATTCTAAAAATAGCCAGAAAAACTGGATTAATAAAGAAGCATTAAATCTATCAAAATAATAAATTAGTTCTGGTATAGTAAATAATGGAGAATGCTTATAATTAAACTTGTCATCAGATATTAATATTAGGCCTATTATAAAATAAATAGTCCTAATACTAATTTTTCTGTTATTATTTAGAACAACTGTTTTAGTAAAATAAAATGTCAGTTTATGAGGATATCCTCAAAAGAGCTAATCTTTTAAGATTCATTCAACACCTTTAAGGAAAAGGCTTGACTTGATTTTCTGTGAGAGAAACCCTTCTTAAACATTTTCAGGTACGTTGTAAAGTCAAAATGTGGTATCAGTTTTTCTGTGACACTTTGTTTTAGGGTACCATATTCCCAAGTAAAGATGTGAAATCAAAATTACCACCCATTTTTTTTTTTACCACCCATAAAATTATAACTACGCATCTTACAGATTTCTAATTTCACAATATTTTAATTTGTGAAAAGTTAGTGCCTATATTACAAACCAGTCAGAAGCTGTAAATGAAAATACTCAAGTAAAAATATATTTTACCTTGGAACTTCATTTGCAAACAGAGACTAATTTAAATCAATACTTAAATAACTTGTGTAGCAGGAGACAAAACAGTTTTATTTTTAAATAAAATGGCTTAAATTAATTTCACTTGACACAACAGCCTATAATTTCATACATGCACAGTCAACACCACACTTACTACATTGTTAACTTAAAGCAGTGGATCAAATTCCCAAGTAAAAGAAATAAGATACAGATGTAAGCAGTTTAGTATATCAGGTAATGGCAACCCCTAATGACACAGCACTACTCACTTTAAGCCAAAGATCACTTTGTCCACAGTCAGCTTGTAATATATCAGGTAATGGCAACCCCTAGTGACACAACACTAATCACTTTAAGCCAAAGATCACTTTGTTCACAGTCAGCTTGTAGTATATCCAGTAGTGGCAACCCCTAGTGACACAACACTACTCACTTTAAGCCAAATATCACTTTGTTCACAGCCAGCTTGTAGTGTATTAGTTAATGGATTACTTAGAAGTAGTATTCACTGTATTGTGAATCCATTAATTTAGCTAATTATCTGATGAAAGTAGGCAGTGTGTCATGATAGCTTTGTCCACAGTCAGCTTGTTGATCTTTGGCTTAAAGTGAGTAGTGTTGTGTCACTAGGGGTTGTCACTACCTGATTGTGGACAAAGTGATCTTTGGCTTAAAGTGAGTAATGTTGTGTCACTACCTGATATACTACAATCTGACTGTGAACAAAGTGATCTTTGGCTTAAAGTGAGTAGTGTTGTGTCACTAGGAGTTGCCACTACCTGATATACTACAAACTGATGACAAAGTGAGTAGTGTTGTGTCACTATGGGTTGCCACTACCTGATTGTGAACAAAGTGATCTTTGGCTTAAATTGAGCTTCCCTTCATTATGTTGTTAATCTAAATGCTGACATTAGCTTTAGAGTAGACATATGGTGGTCAAGAAATACTTAATTTTGTATTGTAGTACACATTATTGTGTATTATCATGGCTAAATGTTCTCTTGTTGATGTACAACCAATGTGTCCGTACACATTTGGGTCAAACGGTTATAAGAAAAGCACATTATTAGTAACATGTTGCACATGTGTTAGACCATGTTTTACTTGAATGTAACTAACATATACAGATTAGTTTGTTTGTTTGTTATTAAGCATGAAGCTACACCACTGGTTTTCTCTGTCGTGTGCACCACAAGTATCAAAATCCAATTTTAAGTACCGTGAGCCTTCAGACTTACCTCTGAGTCACTGGGGGCCATACAGATTAGTTTCATCAGGTTTATTATGTCAAGCTTATGGCTTAATATGTGTAATATATATTCAGTGTACTTTGTAAATGGGCATGCTCCTACTTTTGATTACAGTAAATACGAGTAAAATAGTGTTTCCTAAAAATTTTATGTTGAATTAAAGTAATTGTAGAATGTATATAGAATTGTTATGATTCTGAATCAGAAAAATTTGGTTCCAATTTACATGTATTGTGTTTGATGTTTGCTTATGTTAGCTGGCTGTTCGTTTATTGCAGTTAAATGTTTAACTACATGCATGTACATGTAAGATTTAATAAAGTTTACGAATGTTTTTTGTACTAAACAGGAAATGATGTGTTACACATTTTATGATTGGATATTACTGAATGAAGCTACTTTTACATGACATAATGAAAACCTGTTGTGATTTTTGTCTACATTTTTGAAAGTTAAATGATTCAAAGGCTCACAAAAAAACAAACTAGAAACACAATTTGTGTTCACCTCACACCTGTTTAGGGGGGGGGGGAGCATTTCTTCAAGAAAATCAAATCAGATCTTTTTCTTAAAGAATGTTGAATAAAGTTTGAAAATCCAGCTTATTACTCCTTGGTGGTTCAATTCGATAAAAATGATGATAGTTTTTACTATCTATATATATATATATACACACATGTAAATAAATTAAAAAAAAAATAATATATATATAAGTTAGGGAAAAATAAATAAAAAGGAGATACCCAAAGATAGAAAAAAGCGATAGAAAACTCGTGC